GGAGATTGGATAGATTTTTGTTACAGAGAAAGCAAAAAGGAATTTTTATTCAGAAGAGTATATGATTGGAACTAGCTTCTCCGCCGGCGATGAGTGGACCCTAGAAATCGCTCGTCGGATTAAACCAGTCGCCATTGATGACCTTGGGAAACCAAAGACGCGGAGATTGGATAGATTTTCATTACAGAGAAAGCAAAAAGGAATTTTTATTCAGAAGAGTATATGATTGGAACTACCTTCTCCGCCGGCGATGAGTGGACCCTAGAAATCGCTCGTCGGATTAAACCAGTCGCCATTGATGACCTTGGGAAACCAAAGATGCGGAGATTGGATAGATTTTTGTCACTAGATAATTTTCTAGTGACGTGGTTGGCTCGTGTCGTGGATCATTTACTTTTCACTTTTCAGTAGGGGCAACGATATCGTTTTGATCAAATGAGGGATATTTGAGGACCATATATAATGTGTGTCAATGGATATTCAAAATTCACTAAATCGATCGAACCGTACCGAACTGATTTTTAGTTTTTTTTTAATAAAATTATAAATTTTTATATAAATCTATAACCGTACTGATAATTAGGGTACAATAACAATCCAGTAAAATTCCACAAGTGGGGTCTGACTGATAATTAGGGTATGTTTTTTATTTTATAAAAGTAAACCGAAAAAAATACCGAATTGTACCGAATAAATTTACATGGAAAATATATATAATAAAACATTGAATTTTTTCTTGAGTCTTGGAATTATGAAAACAGTTACAAGACAATAAGTAATTAAACTCAAAATTCTAATTCTCAAACCTATATTATACTATTCCTATCGGAACTAAACTATTTTCAACATATTCACTAGCAAAACACAAGGTATTCTAGCGATTATGAGTAGCAAACTATAATGTATTGAATATGTTTCCTTTCGTATGATTTAAATTTATATTTTTGAATATTTAATCTTCTATAGACTTTATTCTTGAGTCCCAATTTGCTTAATATATTTTCACTCGTGTGATTTATATTTCTTTTGTCTTTGCTTAATTTCTTTTACGCTTGATGGATCTATACTTTGGCCATCTTTCATGTTTTCTTAATTCATCACCCTTTAAATAATAAAAATGTCTAGGGAGTTTTGCTAAGTCATATAAAAGTACGTATGCTATTGCATTTTGTTTCTACTAGTGACTTATAAATGATATTTTTAAAAAATATCGAAAATTAACCGAAGCGTACCGATACCGAAGAGAAACTGATATGATTGGTACGGTTTCTATAAGTCTAATTTTAGTTACACATAATAGAATAATCAAAAAATTGGTATGGTACAAATTTTATAAAATAACCAGTCGAACCAGACCATTGACACCCCTACTATATGGTAACAAAAATAGGTTATTATGCTAGGAAAAAAATGAGAAAACTCAGAAATCACCTGAACATTTGATGGTTTGCACTTATTTTAAAATCAAAATTGTTAGTTCGCTTAGCCTGCGCATTAGGTGCCATCACGGTCATTGGTGTGTTTTGGATTGTGACAACTTGATATTAGAGTCTATGTTGCATAGGTGTCACGAGTCATGAGCATGTCTAATAAAGTCTTGCGGTATGAAAACGTCTATACTTATATTCGAGGACTATGGGATAATTAGAAAACTTCACTTTCTTTCTTTCTACGTCGGGTGACTTTGAAGTTTGAACTCTAACAACACTGTATCTTAAATGATTTTTGTCTTTAACACTAGCCTTTTAAAATCGTGGGACTTTGAACTATAACAACGTTATATCTTTAAATGATCATTGTCTTTAACACTAGCCTTTTAAAGACAAAAGAGATCAATTGTGAGGAATGGCCATTCTACAACAATCATTTAATTTGATTCATCCTTTGATTGCTCCCCCCACAAAAAAAAAAAAAAAAAAAAAAAAAAAGAAAAAAAGCATATCAAAGTATTATGGAATTTTGTAAATCATCCCCCCTTCTTTGTTTTGCTATACTGGATGCTTGTGTTTGCTATAATTTAACACAACTGGTTGTGAAAAATGCTTTCAGTCTTATTCCATGATTCTCTTTGATCAAAATATGCCTTTTATACTAACTGCCTGGACAGATTAGAAGAATGAAGAAAAACAGGCATAGATTCAATTAATTGGACTATATGTGCAAGGAATGGGAGATGAATTATGATCTTCCCTTGTAAGGACAAGGCAATTAAAGCATGAAAGATGAGTGCTTTCTTTCTCTACTAGCAGCCAACCCTGATGGACTAAAAAGGCAAATACCTCAAAATGTACAACATACATAATCCATATAGCTGGAGCAAGTTTAAATATCCTAATTGTAGAAGCACATAGTGAAAACAGCAGCTATATGCTCTGAGCACAGCACAAAAGAAGATATATCATTCAATCTAGAGGCCATGTTCAATTAGAGAGGTGATATAAATCGACAGAGTGACTAAGGTTGTCGTTGAGCACAATACATTAGCGTGTTTGTGATAGTTGGTCAGCGCTTCCCCTAAATACATATTCGGGACAGTAGAGAGACTTTTAAGAAACCTTATAGACGAATATAGAAACAGAAGCAGCAGCAGCAGCACACAGTTTCCCACCTCTGTAACTAGACTGGCAGACTTGAACTTCAATATGATCTTAAGTCTCTTCACTCACAGCCACAGAAGCATTCTGGTTTCAGAAACAGCAAAACCATTTTTTCTGCACATAATAGATGTATAAGAATCAATCACTTAATCAGCCTGCAGTAATTCTACACTGCAGTTGGAGTCTGGCTATATGAACACATTTCGTTAGAATGCTCAATAATTTGCTTATCTAACATCAGAAGTTCTTTATATTTTTTACTGACATACGAATATTTAACAAGATTACAAAAACTCCTATCAAACACTGAACGTGATATAAACTCTCCGACATGTCTAAGCACTGGTATTTATTTTCTAGAATAGATGCTCTCTAAATCTCGCAATTGTTTCTACATAAACAGATAAGTCTCTAACCAAACTAAAAAGGAGCTCAAACACAGAACCTAATGTAAGTCAACAACAACAATTAGCTAGACCTTAACTCCAAGTAGTTAATATTGCATAGTGATTATTTGCAGATAAATGGGAAAGTAACATTCTTGAATGCTTGTAGCACAAAAGAAGAAATATTAAGATTTAGTAGTCAGTGATCAATACCTTGGGTTCTTGCTGATAAGGATTAGATTGTCCGTAAGTATAGTCATTCCTGGGCGCTTGTGTTGGTGCCGCGGTGCCATCGGCTTTTTTGTCATCCCTAGCCTTTGCAAATATGACAGTGAATCCATCTGCCGAGGCTGGATTGTTTACATCCCACTCCCCGAATTTCGGCAATGGCCGACCTTTCTCTTGCTAGAAAATGGTGTCAAAACAGAGAAATGAAGACATGTAAGTTAGCCATAAGTAAATAAAGTTTTTTTCTTGATGTTCTGTTCTGTATATGTATTATGTAGTCATGTACTCTTAACTTATATGCATTGGGGTGTTTAGTATCTCAACTCTAAGAACACATGAATTTCTCTCAAATTCTCTAGTATTTTTTAAGAAGAACAAACATCTTTCAACTACAACAATTACGCCTCAATCCCAATTAAATTTGGGTCGGTTATATGCATCATCACTAACTATACTGCTCCATATAAGCTACTCATTCTTGTATTGTTAGAATTCATCATAAATTTAACTAATTTAACATTGGCCGTCAGCCTGAACTAGTCACATAGGCAAAGTAACAATCAAACATCTTTAATTAAACCGATAGGAAACAATTACCAACTAAAGATGCTCCGTCTGGCCACTAATCAAGAAAAAAAAAAATACATACAAATCGTCGGTGAATCAAATTCAGCAAAAATGAGAGCAAACTGAAAAGTTGAATTGAAAATAAAAGTGAATAAGGTTGGTCAAAACCATGCCATCTTTAATTCAGCATTAACAAAAACAGCCATATACATATTACAAAAATTATAACTAGGATTGGTCTCGGAATCAAACAACTTTTCCTAACGTTTAATTCATTCAAGGAGAAATGTGGGTCGGGGTTTTGGAATTTTATAAGGTTTCAAATTCTTGAATCTCGTTATAATTTCATCTTATTGGGATGACTATTTAATAGCCAATGACAAAATTCAAGAACGTTCATATTCCTAGCAAAGCAAAATTCATGCAAAAGAAAAAAATAAGAACTGAAAAGATTGGAAGAGAGAGAAACTTACAGAAGTCATGAATATGAGATTTTAGGTCCTGTAATTGAACGGATGAAAGGAATAAAAGAAAAAAAAAACAGAGAGAAAGAGAATGATCAGAACGAGTCTGAATGTTTAGGAAAAGCTTTTGGATGAATAATCTGAATGTTTGTGCAAAACAAAAACTTATTGGGATAGCTTTTTTTTTTTTTTTTTTTTTTTTTTTTTTTCTTTTCAATCTTGTGAGTTTCCTCTTCTTCTTTTATTTATGTTATCTTTTTATAAAGAAGAGGCACTTTCCAACTTAGTATTTTCTAAAAATCTCAAAGAAAAAAAATGGAAAAATTATCTGACCAATTTATTTTTTTAGACTTTTCAAAGTGTTTAAGAAAATTTCTCACATATAGAAAAATTGCGCGCATGACATTCCCATCTTATATTCCTATCAGAATATAGTATATCATAAATTCAAAAAGTCATGTCCTCTCTCGGTCCTGTTGGGTGACAATAAGTTGCGTTTGGAGAAGTTTTTGGATAAATGTTGTGAAGAAATGCTTGTGCAATATTGTGTGTGTCTCCTAATATTTTTGCTTTTTTAATAAGAACAGGCACTTTCAGAATTTTAAAGTTCCTAAAAATCTCAAAAGAAAAATTCAAATAATTTAACCGACCAGATTTTTTTGAAGACTTTTGAAGTGTTTAAGAAACTTCCCACTATTAATATGGACGTGTACAGCTCAATACGATTTTGTAATATATTTCAGAAAATGAGAAACAATATGAAGTTATATAATGCATGAACCTTTTCCTGTCAATTGACTTGGAAAAAATAACTAATTGGAGTATACTAATTATTTAGGTTAATATTTCAAAAGGGTGAATTGTCAATGTCATATATAGCTAAAATTCAAACACTAACAAAATTTGCGAAATAAAGAAAATGTGGTTTGAATAAGTGAGGGTGCACTACACACCTCAGACTTGAGCTATAAATTACGATAGGAAGTTGACAACCAAATTTCCATTAGCTCTTATGTATTCTTCTGCGTCTAAAGAGATTTAAATCATATTATCAAAGAATTTGAAGGAAAAAATAAAGAAACTGAAAATGTCTGAAAGGTGTTTACCCGAAAAATTGGATAGAGTTAAATTTGTATATGGTTGTAAGGATACATGATATAACTTGGTACGAATTGCAGAGTGAAATAGAAATATATATATTCTTTGACAGATGGAATGATATATAATGCAGAGAAAAAAGAAATGTTGATGAACAAGGCAAAGTAAATGAGCCCCAAAGTGTTAATCTCTCTGAAGTTGTCTTTTTTGCAATCTATCCCTTATGCTTACAAGGATTCCCCTTTATAGTAGAGGGATCCTACTTTATCTATGAAAAATATATAGTGGAGAACCCATGATAAATTATCTTTTCCTCGATTCCTGCCAAGATTCTCTCCCCTAGTGCGGTTGCAACGGCTCTTGTCTGTGAACTTGATACCAGCTCAAGCTCGGTATTGGATCGAGCCCTCGACCTTGGTTCGAGCTCAACTCTGACTTGGAGTCTCGAGATATTCGGGGTGAGTGTTGGTCGGTCTATGCATCTTCGATAATCTCCGCTTTGCCTCGTAGTTCGATTTGGATATGAGCTCGATAATGATACCGAGCTTGTCGTTGATCGGTCTTAGAGCTTGAAGCTCGACGCCCTTACTTCGGACCTCGACCTATCGTCACGCGGATACCCTTTGATCGAAGTATTATCACCTCGACCAGTCCGTACGACTGACTTAATCGGTTTTAACCGTACACAGATAGTCCCCTCGTTTCTCGAAAAAGGATGTGGCGAGAAACGATATGATTTTCCAACAGCTCGATCAGATATATGCTGACGTCTGCGTCGATCCCAACCATGACGTACGTGATAGCTATCCCATCGATTCAGTTTTACCAAGGCATTTAATGTGTGTCAGAAAGTGGTCGGCCATCGCTGATATTGAATCGTCATTGCTTCAATTTTTTAAATAACCCTTCCTTCCACCATTCATCACTTTTGCGTCTTCAATCTTCCAAATTTTCTAAGTTCCCTTTCGTCTTTTCTGAGTTTTTTGTCTGCAAATCTGTGAGTTTTACTGCAAATTCTTTCTTAAAATACCAAATACTCCCGTTCTTTGTTCACAGAATTTTAAATGGCAAAAACGTCTAAAACTGTTCCGCAAAAAGAGACCGCTTCTTCATCTCGACCTGCTAGTGGCGAGGATGTGGAAGAGCCCCGCCCTGAGGAATTCATTCCGGTAGGGTGCTCGGCTGTAGGTGATTTTAAAATTAAAAAGCCTTCTCCGATACCGAGTCGGTATGAGCCGATGTCGAGGTACCAATGTTCAATTACCAAGAAAGTTCTCGATAAAGTCATACAAGAATGCAACTGGGATAATAAACTCGTAGTAATCCATCGCATGATGAATCAATTACTACCCACGTCGAAGGGTTGTTAAGTGTTTACACTTATCCTTTCACGTTGGACCCTCTAGACCCTGTCACCGTTGCCTTCTGTAAGAGGTACGATGTGACCCTCGGCCAGATCTACCCTTCCTTTTGGAGGATAGTGATTCTTCTTTGATTTTTCTCGAGCAAAGTCAAGGGGCGTATCTTCACCCTCGATCATCTTATGCGCCTCTACAGTCCCCGACTTTATCGAGGAGGGTTGATCAAGCTTGCTCGCCGAGCAACCAAAGCGCCATTCTCGAGCATAGACGAGACTCGGGATCCAGGTTGGATGGGCCATTTTGTTTGAATCAAAACCTCGGACCTGATCCCTGCCGATGACTTACCATATTTCGAGAAATGGAATATGAGTCGTGAGTAAACGTTTATTTTTGCCCGTTTTGATTTTGTGATTGCATTTCATTTTGTTGATCCATTTTTTTTTCTTATCACAGCCGTAGCTCGGATGCCGGAACCGATCCCGGATATTAAACAATGGGTCAAAGGTCTGGTGTTGCAGAGACCGTACTCTGAGCGTGCTTGGGTCGAATTATCAAAGAGTCGATGGGAGGCCCGCATTCATGGTAAATTTTTTTATCGATTTGTCTCTTTATCGGTTTGTATGGTAAATCTCCCTTTTTCCCCTTTGTACGACTCGGGAAAGATGTAGTCATGAGGCTTCCATCTGGTGGTGAAGAAGTTCCTGCCCTGAAGCAGGTAAAAGAAAGGAAGAGAAAAGACGTATCGGGCTCCCCGAGCTCGGAAAAGAAGAAACCGACTAAGAGATCTCGAAAGTCGAAGGGGCCTATGGTGTTATATCTTCGGAAGTGGCCCCGAAGAAGGAGAGGAGAATTTAGCATGCGTACGGGCTAATGTTGTGATTCAACAGTCTTTCAATTTGGTGGAAGCAAATCAGGGAACGCTGGCCATAATCCCAGAATAAGAAGAAGCCGAGATTATCCCTTCTCGAGCTAAGATGATTGAAAGGGATACCGAGGGTGGGTCTTCTAGGACAGTAGAATATATTTCAAGGGATGAGTTCGGGATAGTTGACATTAGCGGATCCCCTTAGATTTTGGATGCCATGATTCGAGAAGCCAACATGTTGGAGGATCGGTCCTATGAGGGTATTTAGGAGTCAGCCGATATCCACGGTTTTCTAGAGGAGTTTGAGTCAGGTGCCTCGGAAGAGGTTATCGGTTTTGGTGGAATGCCGGTACCCAAAAAAGCATCGTGGTCGGGTTCTACCGAGCCTTCATCGATTCATAAATCGGTGGACCGATTCCCAGCCCCGAGTATCGATCCCGACCGAAGGCAGAAGATAGTGCTCTCCGTACCTGAGGATACCCGATTTTTTTCTCCCCCTGTGGGGATTGCCAGTTACCTTCGGTCCTTGGTGACTGAAGAAGATCAATCAGTGATGAATGCGGCGGGGCCCGCCTGTCTCTTCAACGAAGCCCAACATACTTTGAATCGGGTAACTTTAATGGCGTTTTTGCCAGTTCTTTTATACTTATAATTGTAGGTAATTCTAACGTTTCTCCTTCTGTTTATAGGTTTCGGTGTTGCATCACGAGGCCTTTCTTCGAATCCGGGAGGAGCATGATGCCGAGGTTCGGAGCCTCACTGAGAAGAGTGACTCGTACAAGTTCCGTAGTGAAAAACTTCGAGCAGATTTGATAGCGGCTAGGGAGGAGCTTGAAGAGATGGCTGAGCTAGTATTCCGATCATTCCATGATAGTGAAGATGAAAAAGAGATTACCACTAACGATCCGATTTTGCAGGTTCGACAGAGGATCGAGCAGATTAGACGGCTTAACTCACAGGTAGATGCGCTACTGGCCGAGGCAGAAGAATTTAAAAAGTGTATGGATATCCTTGCCTCGAAAAAGGAAGCCGTTCAAGCTCAGTTGGAGCTGTCTGATGCCCAACTTCGATCTACGAAAGAAAATGCTTCGGGGGTGATCGAAAAGATGAAAGAGCTTCAGCATCAGTTAGATTTGGCCACTTTAGATAAAAGCAGATTTGGCTAAAGAACTTGAAGTGGCCAGATCTGAGGTGATCGGGGCCAATAAAAGAGCCGATGCAAAAGTGGCTTAGTTCAGGATCGATGTTGAGGTTAACCAAGCCAAAGATAAGAGCATGGTCGAACATGCAAAATGGCAAGCTCGGAGAGAAGCTCTCGAGGAGGTCAGAGCTCAGATCTTCAATATTGGGGCCGAGATTGAAGTCGTCAGGGCAGATGAGAACAAAGCTCGAAGGTTGGCCTTTCCTGAGGAGGACTCCGATGACTCGGGGGAGTCTGAAGATGAGGAAGATGCCGAGAACACGGCCTCTGATGAAGATTGAATCATTTAGGGCCTTAGGTCATTTGCTGCGTTCTTTTGATACCGCTTTCGGTTTTTGTATAAAGAACTTCCTTTTGGCTGAGTTGCCGCCTTTGTACAAAAATTTGTAAATATAAATCTTTCTTCCTTTTGAAGCAAAATAGCCTTTTAAGCTAAATAGATAGTTTGAATTTTAATCTTTGTTGCCTTCGAGCCTTGTGGGTAGTCCCTTTTGCTTTATCGGGCTCGAACAGCCTTCAGCCTTTAAATAGTCAAGTGTTCATTTGAACTTGAAGTAATGAGTAATGTTACTCGAAGTAATGTAGCCTGTAGGCGTAATGGTCGAGTGAGTGCTTGCTCGAACTCGAAATAAAAGTAGCCCATAGGCTTAGTAGTCG